GGCACCTTGGAAGAGAAGAGAAGTAGGAAAGGTCTTACTTGAACTATTCACATCATTAGCTGGTTTTTTACATTCTGGGTCAGGCAGAAGTTTCAATACGACCCTCAAGTCTCCCGGTGTTTTCATGGGCTCTTAGTTTCCAACCAAGAGCCTTTTACTGCATAATAATTTGTCTTTGTCCCAAATTCCTAACCCAGAACTTCTAAAATCCCTTTTAGGATTTTCTGAAAGATAAGGATCTTTGTAATGATAATGAGGTGACTATTACTAAGCCCTTAATAGCTATATTACGTTTACAATGCCTTTAATCTTATTGTGGGCTGGTTACCAGAGAGACCAACCAAGAGATTAGAGGGTTGGGACTTTTTGGGCGGCCAGACCTCTGGGGAGAGAAAGCAGGCTGGAGAAGTTCAATCACATGGCCAATGACTTAATCAATCATACGTATGCAGTAAGTCCCCCAGTAGAAACTCTGGACAGAGAGACTCAGTGGAGTTTCCTTCTTGGTGTATATATCGATGTACAAGAGTGACAGACCCTGGCTCAACAAGGAGAGGTTATGGAAGCTCTGCATTGTTTCCTTTGCCCTAAATATATCCTTTATAATAAAACCATAATCATAAGTACAGCACTTTGCTGAGTTCTGTGAGCATTAGAGCAAATAATTGAGGGGATAGTGGAAACCCCCAAATTTATAGCCAGTTGGTCAGAAGTGCGGATGACCTGGGGACCTCCAAAGTACAGGCAGTGTAAAGGCAGTCTTGTTGGGGACCATGACCTACAGGGAAACCTGTAGTTTCACGCTGACTCAAGGTGGTTAATGGCTTGCCATAGATGCAGTACTTCCCTCTTCCCTAGATAAATTGCAGGATTATCTCTATGAAAGATGGGTCATTAGCATTGCTTTGTCTTATAGGCATTCACCTTCAGCTTCTTGCTGCTCAAGAGTGCCTTTATTATTCAAGGCAGCTTTAGTGGCTGAGGGGGTGGAGGGAAGACCACCCACAAGGACTCTGCTGGGAGCTGCCCACTGCTGGCCCGGGAGAAACACTCATACCACCCTTGCCCTAACAAACTCCCCAAGGAGCAGTATTCTTTCACACTCCCAGCAAAGCAAGAGGTGGCTCTTCCCGTCAACTCTGTTTTCTTTGGGAATAGATCTCAGTCCACTATGCCCGCAATTGCTGGGCCGCAAATGAAGATCCCTGTGTGAGCAACTTCACCAGCTCTCTGTGGAAGCTTCATTAAGCTTTATATGAAAGGACATAGAAACTACTCTCACACCTTTCACAGGGAAGGAGGGCAGTCTCAAAATATAATGACAACTCTGCAAAAAAACTTTTCATGAATCCCCCTTTCTATTTTCTGGACCCTTCTACTGCCTTAAAATGGCAAGGAAATTAGAACAGGTTCAAAACTATTTCCTCTAAGAATGAATACCTATGGTGATTTGGTTTCTCACTCTGAAATTCACATTTATTATTTCTTGGCTGCAATGTACTTGGCATTTTAACATGTTACATAGTTAATTGAGGGTTACAAACAAAGATGAAAAACTAGAAGAAAACAGAAATTTAAAACAAAAATTACAGGAAATGGAAAGATAATTCTCAATTAGGACAAAACAATCCTGAGTTAATCACTCAACGGTAGAAACATTAAACTTACAAAAAATGATTTGTAAGAAATTTTTCTGGAAACCTCTATGTACTATGTTTTAAATGTCTAAAATATACATTGTAATTTATCATTTCAAGTTTATCAACTATAGAAGATAGCTTATCACACATACAAAATAGTACGTGACTTTTCAAAGTAATCATGAAGGGTCTAGCACAATAAAAACAAAACTACACCAAAAAAGAGTATCATGAAATTGCAGATGACTATAAATAAAGAAGAAACTGTATAAAAGCTTCCAAACGGGAAAAAAAGTTAGTTTCCAGACAAAGATTAAAAACTGGAATTGCAACAGATCTCTCTAGGGTATTCCTGGATGCTAAAAGACAATGGAGCAACTATCTTCCAGCAATTTCCAAGTGTGCATTTTGTATTCAAACTATCCTTCCAGTGAGAAGAGAGAATTACCGTATTTCTAGGCAAGAATAGTCACCTCCCATACATAGGGTAAGGGCACAGCTTTTCCAGATGTTGGTTGCCAAAAGAGGAAACATTGTAAGGCCACACCTGATGTATGTTACTTGCATTTGTGCAGAAGTCTTCAAACCAGCTTCGCTGATCTCTGGCCCCCAGCCCACCTCACATTTTACTCTTTTGATTGTTGGACTTACAAGTGAACTAGTAAGAAAGAATTTCACAGCATTTTTGTTGTTTTTAAGATCTAAAATATTTGCACGAGGGAGCATTATACTATGTATTCTATTGTGTAACCAAATATTTCATTCCATAGTGACCTCTACTGGGAAGAAGAAATAGATCACCAGGGCCGACAAAGTAAGCAGCCAAACTAGTCAGTTCAGTCAAGGAATTGGTTAATCTGGAAAGGTAATGCTGTTTAAGTCTGCTATTAAGAATTGTTAAGGCCCAGCTGTACTCTGATTATTTTTATTTTAAAAAAGATTCTGGGAAGTATTTCAAACTTATGTTGTATAGAGAATAATTAATAAATATATACATGCCACCCACTTTTATGAAATGTTTACATTTTTCCATATTTAACTCAGATCTTCTTTTAGTAAAATAATTCTGTGTGGTCTCTTACATCCCCTTTCTAGAAAACAGTTCCTTCCTCCCCTCGAAAGAGGGCCCTACGTGGCCTTCATCTTTCTCATGAATTTTTTCCTACTTCCCCTTCACATGAATGCATTCATATTTAATATAGAGTGATGTGGGCCAAGTTTTAAATTTTTATACAAATAGAATTACACACACATACACACAACACACACACACACACACACACACACAACAGACACACTGTTCTGAAGTGTACACATTTCTGCTCATTGAATTGTCCTGTTATTGTAATCCTGTCCCCTCCTCCCTCAGGGGAAAACAAAACAAAACAAAACAAAACAAAACAAAACACTGAGACTTACACTGATAAGGAAAACATGATTCTTCATAATAGAGGTAGGTCCGATAGTTTCCAAAGGGATTCTATACAGAAATGTTTGAGAATCAGGACAAAGAAGAAAATCAGTATGAGCTAATATTAAGAGCGTTTACAATATCAGACAGCATTTAAGGGTTTCTTTGGTTTAGTAGTTTAATATACACAGCAAATCTTTAAGACAAGGTCTACAGTGACCTCCACTTTACAAAGAAGGAAACCGAGGTGAAAAGGGGTTACCTAGTTTGTAGGTAACAAGTAGGTCATGCTGCTGAGCGGCCAGCCCGCCCAGGAGGCCAACCGCCTCTGACTCCCTGCTCTGAACATGCTCATATGTAGATGAGACTTATAAAGAGTTGTAATGTAGGGCCAATGTGGATGCTCTTGAATTCTACCTGTTGCCCCTCCTTGTGGATTTCTGAGACTCCCCGCCAGGCCCCAAAGGGTGTTGACAGTGGCTCTCTTCTCTCTATTCTGAAATTTCACCAACCAGAAATTGAGCATCCTCCTCCATGCAAAACCTCTTGGTCCTCTGGCACGGGAAAACTAAGGTTTGTTCTTGACTCCAGCAACTGTGACCTGAGATAAGTCAATATCATAACTTCTCCAGATCCATTCTTTTAAAAAGGCAAAATATTATCCTTTTCCATTTGAAATGATCTGTTTGTGAGGAAGAATAATTTAATGTGCTGTGACATCCTAAGTCATTAAATAGGTGGATGGAGAAGTGGTAGGCACTTATTGGCAGAAGCGGATGTGCATGAGAGCTTTTGGTTTTAATTCTTTAGCAGAGAGAAAGGGGAAGTAGACCTCTAGGCCAAGTAGGGCAACAAGGAAAACCAACTGGCTGGAGTCTGCTCCCCCAGGGCAGACTTCTAGTGAGAAGCAGGAATAGCATAGTTAGACCACTTGGTTTCAAGGTCCTGGGTCTCTGTCTTACTAACTAGCTAACTCACTTACTGGTCATGGATGATTTAGCACTCCTCCGTGTTGCAGATCCATCCTTTATAAAACTGTAGGATCATAATGTATCTACCTAATAAACTTGATGTGAGGGGTGCCTGGATGGCTCAGTGGGTTAAAGCCTCTGCCTTCAGCTCAGGTCATGGTCCCAGGGTCCTGGGATGGAGCCCCACATCGGGCTCTCTGCTTGGCAGGGAGCCTGCTTCCTCCTCTCTCTCTGCCTGCTTCTCTGCCTATTTGTGATCTTTGTCTGTCAAATAAATAAATAAAATCTTTAAAAAAAAAAACTTGATGTGAAGATTAAATTAGATACATAAAAAATGCACCTAGGAAAATTCCTGGTGCCCATGAAACATGCACTAAATGTTAGATTTTGGTTGATACAATCATTATCATCATCATCATCAGTAGTATCTAGCTGATGGAACTTGGTCTGACCTCCTAAAGTTAAAGGGGGTAAAAACAGAAACAGAAGGCTCTGGTTTTTTGGGGGAATGGATGCAACAAATCTTAGCGTACCCCTTAGTACTTATTAGCTGAAGTTTTCAAATTCTGAAAAGAATTTCATTGGTAAGGGGCGCCTGGGTGGCTCAGTGGGTTAAGGCCTCTGCCTTCGGCTCAGGTCATGATCCCAGAGTCCTGGGATCGAGCCCCGCATCCGGCTCTCTGCTCAGCGGGGAGCCTGCTTCCTCCACTCTCTCTGCCTGCTTCTCTGCCTACTTGTGATCTCTGTCTGTCAAATAAATAAATAAAATCTTTAAAAAAAAAAAAAGAATTTCATTGGTAAGAATTTCTGTTCAATTGATTGTCTAAAAGTTGTCTTTTAGACAACTAAGAAAACTGTATTGAATGAATCCATTCATTCAATGAATGTTAATTGAACACCTACCACGTGCAGGCATTTTTCTAAGCACTGGGAATACAGCAGTGGACAAGACAGACAAAACACCTGCCCTTGAAAATCATACATTTTAATGAAAGAAACCGACAATTAAAGGAAAAACTAAACTGTGAATATGATCAGTTGGTGATACATGCTACGCAGAGTACTGCAGATGAGTGATATTTAGACAGAGTGATCCAAGAAAGCTTCTCTGAAGTCCCAACAGTTTAATTTTGCTTTTGTTTCTCTTGCCTCAGGAGACATATTTAGTAAGAAGTGGCTATGGCCGAATGTCAAAGATGAGACTGCTTGTGTTCTCCTCCAGGACTTCAATGGTTTCATGTCTCACATTTAGGTCTTTCATCCATTTTGAATTTATTTCTTGCGTATGGTGTGGATGGAGCTAGAGGGTATTACACTAAGCGCAATAAGTCAGTCAGAGAAAGACAAATACCATATGATCTCACTCACATGTACAATTTAAGAAACAAAATGATCATAGAGGGGAGAAAAGAGAGCAAGAGGCAAACCAAGAAACAGACTCTTAACTACAGAGAACAGATGGTTTACCTGGGGGGGCATAAGTGGGGGGGTTGGTTAAATAGAGGATAGGGATGAAGGAGTGCACTTGTTGTAATGAGGACCAGGTGTTGTATGGAAGTGCTGAATGACTAAATTGTACACCTGAAAGTAATATTATACTGTATGTTAACTAACTAGAATTTAAAGAAAAACTTAAAAAAAAAAAAGCCTCTCTGAAGAAGGTAGCATTGAATGCAATGGGTTGGCAAGAGATCCAAGCAATTATTTGAGAGAACAATCAAGTCAGAGGGAACAGCACGTGCAAAGGCTCTGAGACAAGAGTGAATGTGGTTTATTTAAGGAGCAGCAAGAAGGTTAGAACGGCTATAGCAGAGTGAGCAATGGGCAGGGTTTTTAACAGCTATTGTTAGAAACATAAACAGAAATAAGTTTATGTCATGCCTTTTAGGCTTAGTAAGGAGTCTGGATTTTATTCTAAGAGTGATCACAAATCATTATAGGTTTTGAGCAGGTGGGGGAAAAAAAAAAAAAAGACCGTGGTAAAAGCAAAAAGATCCACTGGGAGACTAGTGGGGTCCAAACCAGATGAGGATCCATGGCTGAGTGAGGGTGGAGATGAAGATGATGGTTAGTAACTAGATTCTGGATCTATTCTGAAAGTAGAGCCAACCAAAGCTATTGAAGGACTAGACGTGTTGTGTGAGGTAAGGAAAGGAATTAAGGATGAAGCCTGTGTTTGGGGCCCAATTAATTAGCTAAGTAAAGGGGCGCCTGGGTGGCTCAGGTCATGATCCCAGGGTCCTGGGATCAAGTCCTACATCAGGCTCCCTGCTTTGCAGGGAGCCTGCTTCTCCCTCTTCCACTCCCCCTGCTTGTGTTCCTTCTCTTGCTGTGTCTCTCTCAGTCAAATAAATAAATAAAATCTTTTTTAAAAAGTTCATAATCCACATTAGTGTATGGGTAAGTATGTGGCTCTGAGAAGTCCATGGAAAGGAAAACTGACACTTTTTTAAAACCAGGATTTCCCAAATTGTGTGTGTGTGTGTGTGTGTGTGTGTGTCTTTTAATCGAGTTTATTGGGAGTAACTTACAAGCAGTAAAATCCAACCATTTTAGGTATACAACTTTATGGGTTTTTACACAATCACGTAACTACGCCACAATCCCAACTGATTTTAAATAAGTGTTAAGGGGTTAATCAGTTTGCTCAAGGGTAAACAGAAAACGAAGAAAAAATTCAAATCTAGATCTTTCTGAATTCAGAGCCTGAAATTCTAGCTGCATGGTACTGTGCTGTCCAATACGGTAGCCACCAGCCATATCTGGCCATCTGGGAACTTGAAATGTAGCTACTCCAAATTGATCTGTGCGTAAATGTAAAATACATGCAGGATTTTGAAGGCATTTTGAAAATGTAAAATATCCCAGTAATTTATTATAATGATTATATATCAAAACAATATTTTGGATATACTACTGGGTTAAATGAACTATGACATTAAAATGAATTTCACCTTTTTTCTTACTTTTTAAAATGTGGCTTATAGGGGGCACCTGGGTGGCTCAGTCGTTAAACATCTGTCTTCAGCTTAGCTCAAGATCCCAGGGTCCTGGGATGGAGCCCTGCATCCCTCTCCCTGCTCAGCGGGAAGCCTCCTTCTCCCTCCTCCACTCCCCCTGCTTGTATTCCCTCTCTAAAAGTTTTTCTCTCTGTCAAATAAATAAAATCTTAAAAAAAAAAAAAGTGTCTCCTAGAAAATTAAAAATTACATATGCAGCTCATGCACTGCTTTAATAAGTAGAGACTGTCCATAGAATTTATTTCTTAGTGTTATGGTCAAGAGTTTTCCCTTTATTTTTCTATCTGGGGGTAGAACATATCACCGGGATATGTAGTTTTATCCAGAGTTGGTTTATTTCCAGAGCAAATAGATGGAAACGGCATTCTTCCTCTGGCCTCCAGCTATTTGCAGTCATATTCTTGTGCTCCCACACAATGTTACTGCTTTCACTTTTAGCAGATGCATTTTATTCAAAATATTAGCTGCTCAATGATTTGTTAAAGGCATATACCGGAAAGTTTTTCTTTTTTAAAATAAAGCAGTGAGGGGTGCCTGGGTGGCTCAGTGGGTTAAAGACTCTGCCTTAGGCTCAGGTCGTGATCTCAGGGTCCTCGGATTGAGCCCCACATCGGGGGTCTCAGCTCAGCAGGGAGCCTCCTTCCTCCTCTATCTCTGCCTGCCTCTCTGCCTAATTGTGATCTCTGTCTCTGTCAAATAAATAAATAACATCTTTAAAAAATTAAATAAAATAAAATAAAGCAGTGGAATACAATGATCATGGGAAGTCAATCCTGACTTCAGCATTCAACCTGCTGCATTTCCTTGCAGGGCGAGCCAGTACCTCTCTGATGCTTGTATTGTACCAGCCACATCCCACAAGGATCCTGAAATGCAGGTAATACCTCCTAAAATATCTCAAGGGGCTTCAAAAATCTTCTAAATATTTTTAAAGTTCTAAAGAATTAGAGTTGTCTAAAATAATATGTTCCTTCCTGAAACCTGCTTCGTTTTAGTTCTAAACATTCCTATAGTCCTTGGTATTAATTTATTGATTCTGAAAAAGAAAGAAGTCTTCATAAGAGTGTGCTTTTTTACTCCTATTATAGTGTTATGGGTCTCTGTGTGTTTACCTGTTAGTGTCCACTACCTCAAAGTAGCATGGCAATTTGGCATTTATCTACTATCATTTTATTTCTGTGGTTCAGTAGCTATTAATCCTCTTTTGGTATTGGAATCAACTGGGGAAATTTTGAAAAACACAAATGCTCGAACTTTGTCCCTAGAAATTCTGATTTAGTGACTCCGAAGTCCACCTCAGCCAACTGAGAAAATTTGATACATCACTGAAGTTGAGAACTGTTTGTGAGGACAGCCAAAGTAGTGCCTTGGGCTCCATAAAGCTTACTTTTAAAAAAGGAATTAGTGTGCACCCAGCTCTCTCTTCTGTCCTCTCTGCCTGCAAGGATACAAGGACCTCTCCTCAAACTTTCTTACCAAAATCTCATTGGCTTAGACCCTTTCCCTCCACCAAACTCCTATTAGGGCTACTGTAGGCATCATCCATTAGTCTGATGTCTACATACAGTGTATGTGGGCATGGGTGTGTCCCAACTGGTTTATGATTCTTTTTTAAATTTTTATTTTTTTTTTAAAGATTTTATTTATTCATTTGACAAAGAGAGACACAGTGAGAGAGGGAACACAAGCAGGGAAAGTGGGAGAGGGAGAAGCAGGCTTTCTGCGGGGCAGGGAGCCCTATGTGGAGCTCGATCCCAGGACCCTGGGATCATGACCTGAGCCAAAGGCAGATGCTTAACGACTGAGCCACCCAGGTACCCCTGGTTTATAATTCCTGAAGGAGAGGGATAACATCTTTATGTTCATCATGCACCATTCCAGCCAAGTGCACTTCACACAAGAGGTACTTTGTAAAAAAGGATGTTCTAAAAGTACACAAGATGATCCCCAATTGACAATGGTTCAACTTATGATTTTTCAACTGCATGATGGTGTGATTCAGTAGAAACCATACTTTGACTTTTGATCTTTTCCCACTAGCAGTATTTGGTAAGATAGTCTCTCATGACCCCAGGCAGCAGCAAGCTGAAGTTCCCAGTAAGCCATGTGATCACAAGAGTAGACAACCAATATACTTAAAACTATTCTTTACCTATACAGCCATTCTATTTTTTACTGTGAGTGTAGTTTTTGATAAATTACATGATATATTCAACACCTTATTATAAAATAGGCTTTGTATTAGATGATTTGGCCTAACTGTGGACTAATGTAAGTGTTCTGAGCCCATTTAAAGTAGGCTAAGCTATTATGTTCAGTAGGTTACATGTATTAAATGTATTTTTGATTTAACATTATTTTCAACTTAGGATGGGTTTATTGGGACAGAACCCCATTGTAAATCAAGGAAAATCTGTATGTAATTTGGATAATCAAAAGACAGTTATAAGTACAGAAATAAAACAGTTTATATTATTCATAATGAGACCATTAGCTTATAGTAGTGACACATTTTTAACATGGTAAACATAATTTAAGAAATTTATAGGTTTCAAAGTGTTCCTTAGAAAACAGTCCAAGGCAAAAACAGTCTTGGGAATTGCAACAACACAGGGGATGTCATGTAGCCTTTATGGGAATCTATATTAGTTAGCTTGGGCTCCCTATGAAATATCACAGACTGGGTGGCTTAAACAACATACGTTTATTTTCTCACAGTTCTGGAGGCTGGCAAGTCAAGGTCAAGGTACTGGCTGATTTGGTTCCTGTTGAGAATTCTCTTCCTGGCTTGTAGATGGCTACCTTCTCACTGCATCTTCCCATGGCTGGAGAGAGAAAGAGGGTAGAGAGCTCTCTGGTGTCTCTTCTTACAAGGATGCTAATCCTACAGGATCAGATATTCACCATTATGACCTTATTTAACCTTACTTACCTCCTTATAGGCCCAATATCCAAGTATAGTAACATTGAGGATTAGGGTTTCAATAGATGAATTTGAGGGATGGAGGTGGGTCACACAATTCAGAATCTTTCCACATAGAAGAATCTTTCCACAGTATCTTTGTCTGGTGATCAGCCAGCCATTACACCAATGATTCCAGTGGTGAGAAATCAGTACCTGGCAATATGTCACTGTGGAAAAGCTCTAATGGTTAGAAAGCACATGCCATATGAAGTCACATTTGTATCCCCAAAACTTCAGTCTTTGGTTCATTATGTGTTCTTAGGAACAACCCAAAACACTTCAAATCTCTCCTCTCATAAAACTCCTTTAACTAAAAATAAGTGTAGCAGTTACGGATCTCAATCCACAAATTCAAGTTTGCAAGAAATATAATCTCCTAATTTTACCCAAGGGAGGACTTCAAAATCACATTCAAGATTTTCTCTTGACTCACCCATTCCTTCACCTCAAACTACTAGGCTCTAGCTCCTGAAAAGCAGTCATGAAGGAAATGATACCTTATAAACTTTTCTTTTTCTTTTTTTCTTTTTTTTTCAAAGATTTTATTTTTTTATTTGACAGAGAGAGAGATCACAAGTAGGCAGAGAAAGAGGGGGAAGCAGGCTCCCTGCTGAGCAGAAAGCCTGATGTGGGGCTTGATCCCAGGCCCCTGAGATCATGATCTGAGCTGAAGGCAGAGGATTTAACCCACCGAGCCACCCAGGCGCCCGATTTTCTGGTGGGATAAAATTTTAAAATAATTTTTGATCCACCCTTTTAGGCCAGTCCTTCTTAAATATTCTTCAGTGAAATACCAGTAAGAGGACAGAGAGCGCAATATGTAGCTGTAAGTAGCCCCTAAACTAAAATTTTGTTTGATGATTATGATTAAATCTTAATGAAATTATTCACCTGGGGCGCCTGGGTGGCTCAGTGGGATAAGGCCTCTGCCTTCGGCTCAGGTCATGGTCCCAGGCTGGGATCGAGCCCCACATCGGGCTCTCTGGTTGGCGGGGAGCCTGCTTCCTCCTCTCTCTCGGCCTGCCTCTCTGCCTACTTGTGATCTCTCTCTCTGTCAAATAAATAAATAAAATTTAAAAAAAAATCTTAAAAAAAAAAGAAATTATTCACCTCATTTCATCACATACCATTGCTTTAAATATTAAAAAAATGTTTCACTTTCCTGAATCTTTCAGTAAAATGATGCCATAGGAAAATAGGTTTACTTTATGGTTTTGAATAAACTGGTGTTATACCTAAGAATAACCTTTAACTCCAGGCTGGGAAGAAGCAGAGGCTTGGAGGAAAGGAAGAAAAAGCAGACTCTATGTGAGAGCCCTGAATGACAAAAAAAGTTTTAGTTTGGAAACCAGGGGTTTGTTTGATCATAATGTGCCTTAACCCTTATTTCCTTAGACTCTGTTCCCCTGTATTGTTTGCAAATGCGACTTACTTTCCATGGGACCATTAGAGCCTGAAAGTGCAGTCCCTTCCAACTTAACACTCTCTTCCAGATAGTCCAAATGTCCTGCTTGTTCAGTTAATATTAATAGAGCACTTATTATGCACCTGGTTTCCTTTTAAACCCTTTATATTTGTCAAGTCTTTTAATCTTCCCAAAAAATCTATGATGAGGTTATTATTATTATGCCCAACATACAGAAAACTGAGATACAACTAGTCCAAGGTCACCCAGCTAGTGGATAACTGGCAGAGGTTATTACAAACTAGGCATTCTTAATGGCTACAATATAGTGCTTTATTTAAATGACTCCACATTTTAAACTATGGCCTTAAAGCAATAACAAATGTGTAAAATTAAAACACATAAAGCCTTGATAATGTTGGATGTGTTTTCAAGGTAGACTTTTTATTAATATTGAATATTGAAAAGTGCATAAATCATGTTCAGAGGTAACTATCACTCACGTAGAGAAACAGAATATAACCAGAGCCCGCTGTTCTATTCCCTCTTACGCTCTTAAGTTTCAAAGTCCAAAATAAGTATCCCCTTATTATTTAAAAGCTGAACTCCATAATCTATTTAAAACCCTAATTAAATTCATTTCCATAGTAATATACTCTTTCTAGAATAGTGATCCTCAAAATGCGGTCCCCAGACAAGCAGCCGCTCTAGCATCATCTGGGAACTTGTTAGACTTGCAAATTCAGGGAACTCAAGCCAGACCTACAGCACAGAAACTCTGGGAGTGGAGCCCAGCAATTATGTTTCAACAACCCCCGAGCGGACTGTGACGAGAGCAAAGGTTGGAGAGACATGGATGTACGTCCGCTGGAGTGGTTTTGGTTGGGGATAGCATACTGTCTTACGCGAATACTAGCGTATGAAGCGTTACCCTTAAATAACAGTGACAAGTTCTAATAACCTACCTTTTTGAAGTACACCGCGGGTAAGATGCTTTTCTATTTTAACTAACCGCGTTTCCGTTCCCGTCTATACTGCATTTTATCAGGACTAGAAAGCAGGTCCCTCACTTCCTAATTTCACCGGTAGCCTGGGCTGTACTAGTCCAGTTGACCCGCAAAGCCCCGCCCCAGCGCCGCCGCGAATTCAACATCCAGAGGCGGGAGCAGGAATCGGCCAATCAAAAGCAGCGCTCGCCCATCCTGGCAGTGTGATTGGTGATTTCCCACCGGCGGACGCGACCCGTGGGGGCACGCCCAGGGTCTTTCAGCACCAGCCAATCCTCGCTCGGCGCCTGGAGGGGCGGACCCGTTCGAGTGATTTAACATGGCGGACAGTGCCGCCGTAGAAGCTCCGAGTCCGCGGGGTTGTGCGGATGGGGAGGACGCAGACCCCCCAGAAGAGGGGATGGCAGAAACGCCGAGAGATGATCAGGAGCAATTTGAGTGCCAGGAATTGCTCGAGTGGCAAGTGCAGGTGGGGGCCCCCGGGGAAGAAGAGGCCTCCGGCCCGGTGGCGGAGGCCGAGGCGATAGCTGCCGGCTGGATGCTCGATTTCCTCTGCCTCTCTCTTTGCCGGGCCTTCCGCGACGGTCGCTCCGAGGATTTCCGCCGGACCCGCGACAGTGCCGAAGGTGAGTGCTGGGCAGGCCCGGCGGGGGGCTGCGCTGGGGCCGGGGCGACGACGCGCGGCGGGGCGGGAACGGCGGCGGGCGGTCGAGGCCTAGTTTGCTGCGCCGTATACCTAGTCGGGTCGGTGACAACGGGGGCTGCTGCGGCCGTCAACCGGAGAGACCGAGGCTCTGAGGAGAACGTCGGTTCGAATCTCTCACTGGCCCGTTTTCAGCTTCTCAGTTTTTCTCAGATTCTTGTTTTTCCTCTTCAGTAAAAAGGATAAGACCCCTCCCCCTTTGTAGAACTGATACAGGATTCGGTGAGTGAAAATGTATAAAATTGCCCAGTATCCCAAGTCCTTTTTCTTCTTTGGTGCTTGTATTTGTTGTTTCTTTCGACTCAGGTATTCCTGTGATGGCGTTTATGAAGCGGTCACAATGGCCTCCAAGTGACCCAAGCCCCGGGGTTTTCTGTTATTTTGTGAGCTTTTCCAATCCCGTTTGGCCTACTTGCACATTAATAGGCTGCAGGAAAAAAATAACTTGTCAGTGAAATGTGCTCCTTAGACAACACAGCCTTTGACCGACAAAGACACAGACTCCTAGAGAAGACTAGCCTAGCTTTTTTAGTGGTACCAGAAAGGTGTTCTGCTATTTATTTATTTGTTTATTTATTTATTTATTTATTTTAAAGATTTTATTTATTTATTTGACAGACGGAGATCACAAGTAGGCAGAGAGGCAGGCAGAGAGAGAGAGAGGAGGAAGCAGGCTCCCCGCTGAGCAGAGAGCCCGTTGCGGGGCTCGATCCTAGAACCCTGGGATCACGACCCAAGCCGAAGGCAGAGGCTTAACCCACTGAGCCACCCAGGCGCCCCTCTGCTATTTAATATAAAATTAAATACTTTGTAAAACTATATGGACACATTTCATCTTCATGGTAATCCCATTGCTTAGGCAAGTAATTTTAGTTTATAGAGGAGTGGACTAATTAAGCAGCCTCCAGTATTGGTAGGTTCAAGGGAATGTTCCACACTTGCGCCTTATCTTCCAGTTCAAGAACCCTTCCTCCAGCTCTGTCGGATAACACTGAAGCCATGGTTAGTTAACATGAATGAGAAAGTTAAGTTGTAAATTAGTGTATTACAGTGATTTATTTAAAAAGTCCACTTTGGGGAAGAGGGTACAGTTATCTGCTTGTCAATGAATTTGGGTTGGAAACATCAGTATGACTTCCGGTTTGGCTTAATTACCTTAATACCTTAATACAGGTATAGATGGTGTTCAGAAACAAAGTTCAGCCAAGTAAATTTGCAGATGTAACTGCAGAGCTAATAAGCAATTTCATGAATTGGGCAGACAACATCCCACCTAGCGAGTAGGCAGGGAGCTTGGTGTTGTACAAAATGGAAGATTTTTATAGATGGAAGGTGGGGCAAGAATGTTATTAGCAAAAGAAAAGGATTGTTTTAGGCTTAGGTACTTTCCCTTAGGAGGAAGAGCAGGGGGTCGTATGCAGATTACCTCATCTTCCTTTGGGGCTGGAGAGGACCCATTTGGCAGACTCTGGCTCCAGTCACAAAATTCCTTCCCAACAGGTTAAGACTGTATTTCTGGGGGACATTGAAAGTGCAATTAGATTTGGTGTTAAGCCCCAGTTTGGGCCAGTGGTTCTCTTTTAACAGTGATTACATACAGAAGTATGAATGTAATATCCATATATAAATGGGTATTTCTATACATCTCTAGACACAGGTTAATATATACGCATGTATTTCCTCGTTCTGTTAGATGAAAGTGCACAGAAGCAATGTAACCCTAAGTAGCAACCCATCACTGGTTTCTAGTATCAGGCCTTAAGAAAGACAGCCAGAGCTCTTTGGAGAAATGGCCTGATTCTGGGACTGGGACAGGAAGTGTGCAAGATGAACCTGGAGCATCTTGTACCAGAAAATAAGGAAATGGAAAAATCATCCAAACAAAAAACCCCCACAGCGGTGACATTACAAAGGGACAGGAACCAACTGCAAGAGCTGCCAATGGCCAGAGCAACTTGAGTAAGAAAATAGTTTGGATTAGAACCCAAAGGTCAAATAATTATCTATGAGCCCATAATGATGGAATAAATAGTGGGAAAAATAAATAAGTGGGAGAAGAAACAAATCTCATACAGAAGAATTCAGGTAATTTATGTAGTAGCTACTGTGTTCTCAAGGAAGTGAAGTATAACACCCCATTCCTTAAATGCGTGCTGTGCATAGGGACTTTATTTTGAAGACTACAGTATGGACTTGGAGGGAGGATAATTTCACAGTAGAGAAACCTAACAAACACTACTTAACCCCTAGGCAGCAAAGTCAACAGGAACAGTGCCAGTGGTGGTATGTACACTTTATATGATGTGTTGAAGATAGAACTTCTTTGATCTTTCTCCCAAAACCCCTTCACTCATTCAAATTGTAAGGAAAACATCAGACAAACTACAATACAAAATGCCTCAAAACTGCCAAGGTCCTCAAAACCACGGGAGTCTGAGAAACTTTCATAGCCAAGCGATGCCTAAAGAGACATGATAACTGAATGTAATGTCCTGGGTGGGATCTACAGCAGAAGAAGGACATGAAGTAAAAACTAAGAAAATCTGAATAAAGTATGGACTCTAGTTAATAATGTATATATTCTGTACTAATATAAGATGTTACTAACGGGAAACTGGGTGGAGGGAGTATAGGACTTAATCTTCACAATACTGTAAATTAAAAACCTTTCTAAAAAATAAAGACTCCTTTTGAGGTTCTAGAACAAGATCCAAAGAATAATCTAGGCCACCTCTATTATTTTGAAGTTAAGGGCACAGAAACCCAGAGAAAGTAAACTATTTTCAAAGTTGCTCTGCTAATCAGTGACATGTAAATTTGAACATAGTGTTAGCTCTCTCCATTTTTGACCAAAAGGACTCCCTTTTATCTTTTATAGGATTTCATTTTTTACAATTTTCAGTGTTATAAAAATACACAACTCTTGATGCTTTCTCAAAAATTCTTAGCACTTTCATTCTGACTCAGAATTGTTCTCACACCTCACTTAATTCAGATAATACCTTTTCCAGACTGTTATTCCTAACCTGTCACTTTGCATGGGAAGCAGTGTAAGATAGTGGGTAAGAGCATGAGCTCCAGAATAAATTGTCTGAATTTGATTCCCGACTCTTCTACTTTCTAGTTGTAAGACCTGAATCAAGTTACTTACCTTTTGGTACCTCAATTTCTTCATCTTTAGAATGGTGACAGTAGTATCTACCTCACAGAGCTGTTGATCCGTATAAAGTAAGGTTTCTCAGCCTCAGCACTGTTGACATGTTGCACCACATAATCCTTTGTTCTGTGCATGCATGAGAGTAGAGGGGGGCGAAGGTGGGGCTTCTGTACGTAGTAGGATGTTTAGCATCCCCCTGACCTCAACTACTAGATGCTAGGAGCATTCCTCTTACATTCATGATAATCAGAATTGTCTCAGACACTGCCATAACTCCTCTAGGGGTCAAAAGGACCTAGTTGAAAACCGCTGGTGTAAAGTGCTTAGACTAGTACCTGGTATTAGAAGTGCTTAAACATGGTTGCTGTTGTAGCTAGTCATTAGATCTCCCTTATGTGTCTGTCAGCAGTGTTTGGTTACAAGTGAGGAAAAAGCAGATAGCAAGGTTCAACCAGGTTTTCATTGTTTTTGCTTTGTTTATTGTCTGACAGGTACAAAGAACAGAAGGGCAGTGGTGTATAAGGTAATTTGTAGTTTTTGCATAATGGACTAAAGGGAAGTGAAGATAGAGGTCTGACTTTCTTCTCTAGAATAGAGTATATTTTGTTTTGCTTTTTTGTACCATACTTTTAACCTTTGTGGCATTAAAATTTTAATAACTTGCATAAATTTGGGGTTGTGTCTTCTCAAACTAAAACCTTCCTGAGGAGCAGGGGCTATCTTATCAGTCCCTAACATTGGCTAGCAGTAGATGTTTACTAAATATTGAATGAATTGTTTAAATTTTATTTAAGTTTTGTGCTGTCTCTGAATCCTGTTTAATTATATTGCGGCTATATTTGGTCCAGATAATCTCTAGGATAGCACAAGAGTATGCTATTTTAGAATTTGAAATAAATACAAATAAATGTATTTGTCTCTTACCTCCTTAGTTACTGCAGGACTGCTTTTTGATTTTGCTAGCTGATTTAATCTTTATATACAACAGCCAAGCCCTGGATGAAGTATAACAGTGGCATCTTCAGGTTTTACTTTATAAACATTATTTCCTCAGAGAAGCTTTCCTATCTTATCCCTCCAGCTAGCTACTAAAACACACTCTAAGCTTTGTTATATTGTACCCACAGCATTCTGTACTTGTCTTTTTCAGTTTTCCCCATGTTTTTACTTTAATTACTCAATCACTTGTCTTTCATTTCTACATAGTAATAAACTCAT